TGGAAGAACATACATATACAACAAAAGATAATGATTTAGTAATTTACTGGATGCACAAATGATTTTACCCATTGGTAATCATACTGCCAGCTGAAAACTGGAACATGCCTATGCCTGAGAAGAGGTCTGAGAATGTTCCTGAGTCGCATTTGCATCTGTAGAAGGAACATAAAGATGCAATAATTATTATTCAAAATTTATCATGTAAATCTAAACTTAATGCAATAAAAAAGGTTTACTCTTTTCAATTTCTTCAATCTCTTTATACAAGGCAAGGTCATCATCAGTTGGATCCTTATAAAAGCTGAAATCCTCTGCTCTTAACCAATCATTCGTACAAACCAAAGCTTCAACCATTTTAGGACTTAAACTGCTTCTAAATGGATCGACAACCCTTTTGCCTAAACTGAAAGCAGATTCACTTGCAACCGTTGAACTTGGTATTGCAAAAATATCTTTTTCTATCCCCCACTCTCTTAGACAAACCTCAAACTGAAAGTAGGTTCCTTCAAACAACAATGTATTTTCAATTTTCATTCTCTTTTTCAAGTAGTCAATTGCTGTATCATTAGAAGAAGCATTGTCAACTACTATCGAAAATACTTTTTCTATCCCCCACTCTCTTAGACAAACCTCAACCACCTTACCAATATCTTCCCCAACATGACTTGTGATTTTCGTGAAGTTAATTATTCTTTTGTGCAGTTTCCAATCATTGTCCAAAAAGTGGGCAGTGACCACCATGTAATTTATGTTTTGGATGGAAGTCCATGTATCAGTTGTGATACTTACCCTTTGCCCACTAATCACACTTCTTATTTTAGCTTTCTCAACTAAAAATAAGTCGTAAACCATACCTGCCACCTTCTTACGATCTGGGATTCTGAATCTTGGTTGCAATTCATGCACAAGACTTACAAAGCCCTTCCCTTCAACAGCTCGGAATGACATCTCATCGATAATAACATATTCAGTAAGCTTTAACTCACACCTTTTTTGATTGAAAGTATGAGAAACTAATTCACTAACCTGCCCCATTGTCACATTTGTCAATACAGGCTGATTCTTGTCATTTTCACTTGCTTTGTATAGGGGACTTAATTTGCACCTCTTCTCTAAGTGGTTTTTCAAGCCGCTAGTGCTTCCATGACTCGCTGGGATCTGTGTTTGACAATACTTGCAAGTTCCAATTGGTTGGATGGTGCCATCCAGCAAGGTCCTTGACCCTTTTACACAATGATTCCAAAAGATGCTTCGAGGTTCAGAAACAGGAGGCTTAAGTGCTGCTGACTTGTTCCTTGCTCGTTTGCGGCTAGTAGCAGCTTCTCGCGTTTCAGAGTCGATCATTTCTGGTGATTCGGATGGAGTTGGAAGAGAATGAGATGATTGGGATTCCATTCTTACTTCTGAAATCAAAACAATCATTAGTTTGTGATGCTAAACAACCATATATATATATATATATATATATATATATATATATATATATATATATGTAGATATATAAAATTAATATGACCTGCATTCATACTGGGAGTTGGAGTTTAGATAAATCACTTACCAGGTTATCCCTTCTGGCAGAGTAAGTTATGTGCTGCATCCATTAAAAAAGCTATCACAAATCAATATATGCACTTCATTCATTACAATTTACAGAAATAATATTAAAAGATGCAAAATAATAATAATAGATGCTAGATGAAATAAAATTCAAAGATGCAAAATGAAAAACATAGTTATATAGATAAAACTTATTGACTCACAGATCTACTCTTTTAGCGAATGAGACAGATGATTAGATTAATAGAGATCACATGTTATTCCAAAGGATGACCAATTCTCATTCCCTGCTTTACTTCTGTTTGCTATTCTATATTTGTGAATCAAAAGAAATAACTAGCATAGCAGAAACAACATAGGTTACGGAAGGGAATCAAGTTACAAACACATAGACATCATCTCTAACCCAACAGGTAGCTAAAAAATGTGATGGTAGTACCAAAATTTCCACCCTCGAAGATTAAAGCATAAAAATGCTATCTTTCCTAGCAATTTCTTTACATGTAGTAACAAGTAAACCAGATCATATTATTTTATGCCATTTAAGTTCATTAGCATGAACAGAACTCAAGACAAGAGTGGCAGAAATATCAACAAAAAGCCAGAAAGCCAGAAACTGCCGAGGTGAATGAAATAAACCATAACAAAACCTTATTTCCTCACCCAGTTAAGCCTGTGGAGGTGAAACTTGATGCTTTCTTGATACTTTATGTTACCGCCGGCCTGTAGAATAAAAGAGTAACAAGACAACAACATTACTTAAGCTAATTTCCAATACCCAATCTACAATCATACACTGTTGGGTTTTTAAATCAATACTAATAAGTGCATTTGACTGTAAGTTCTAAAAATAATTCTTATGGCACCTGAAATTCATAAATTTGATTCAATAGGCTTTTTCCTAAAGTATAATAATTTTCTAGTAAATAAGCAGAATAGGTAGTATTATGCAAGTCACTATATAGCCAAGGAAAAGTCCATGGAAAATAAAATATGGAACTTTTTGCAGTTTGGCAAGCAAACGAGTAATGCATCCAATAAAGAAGCTAAAGAAGCTATCAGAAAGCAAACTGCAAACAATTAAGAAAGTGGAAAAAAACTAGAAACATAGAGAAAAATATGAGGTGATACAAGGTGTAGATAAATAAGTTGTATATAGAAAAACAAGGTAGCAACCTATTAGAAATCAATATATGCAGCTCATTCATTACAATTTACAAATGAGTTGCTCTATAAATCATCACAGATTCTAACTTAGACCAAATATTACATAAATAATATTAAAAGTTGCAGGTGTAGCCTAGAAATGCTAGAGAACTACTACGAAGAACTGACTCCCTAATCACTCAAATATTCAAGAAGCAAGAGAACATCATGTTTCCATATTAGAACTCAGAGGAGATAATTGATAAATACCTTTTCGTATCAAAGGGGTGGTTTTGTAGAAGAACAAACAGATGGAACTGAGCAGGCCTAATTTTTGTTAGCTCAACCCTATTCGTACCAGCCGGCTGCCTCTCCTATTCGTCGCATATTAGAACTCATTGTTCGCTCAACCCTTCAAGAATATTCGCCTCCATGAGCCAGGAATAGCGATTAGGTAATGGAGAGCCGAGACTGAACACCTCTCTGAAACTGTGAAACCCTATCTCTTCTTTGACTCTTCCAGTGCCGGCCTTCGCAAATCGCAGTTCCACAGGGCAACACAACTAGTTTGGACTTTGGACTTTGGATTAGGACTTTGGAGAAGTGGATTTTGGGCCGAACTGGGCTAATACTCTTATTAGACGGGTGTATTGGGGCAGTGGGCTATTTTTTTACTGAAGAGGCATAATTAATAAGTATATGTAAATAATAAATAAATATATATAGATACGGTATTACGGTATTTTTCGGTATACCGAAAATTAATACGGTATATACCGATACCGTACCGAACTATTTCGGTACGGTAACATACCTTACCAAAATTTTCGGTAAGGAAAAAATTCGGTAAAATTGGTATTTTTCGGTACGGTAAGAGCGGTATTTCGGCCGTTTCGGTATTTTTCCCCAGCCCTAGAGAGATCAAATCACATAGAAACTCGCTATAATGCTGCCACCACAAAAAATCCCAAAATAAAAGACATGGTAATTCAGTAACCTTTCCCAATTAACATTAACATTACTCAATTAAAACAAGTCATCTTGAAGGTGTCAAAAAGTTGCTAACGTCAGCATCACTCTTGTTTTGCTAGGATTGAAAACAATCTCGTGAATTCATTACTTCACCAGATTGTTAACAGCAGGATGTGCAGGGAGAATCTCTTCAACAAGGCTGGGCACAGGAGGAACTCCTGTCGGGTCTTCAATTTTTATTGGAAAGCCCCAGGAAGAAGTATCAAAGTCTGGGAAGCATTTGCGAAGAGCATCGGAGATGCAAAATTGAGCAGTTGACACTCCTTGTATGAAAGACCGCACCACTTCCTCGGCAACAATATCTTTGCATCGTTTTGTCTGTAAAAATGTATTTTCATGATCAACCAAGGCCTTTTGGTACTCCTCGGATTTCTTGTACTTCTCAAGATAATCAGTTAAGTCTTTCTTGTGTGTTTTGGACCCCTTATACTTTTCAAGGTAATTTGCCAGATCTTTCTTGTACTTTTCCTCAACATTTGCTAGCTCTCTTTTGTATTCTTCTAAATTCTTATGCAGCACAGGATGGTCATCCAATTTTTTCTTGTAATCCTCTGACCTTTTGTATCTCTCAAGATGATCAGCCAGTACCCTTTTGTGAAGTTTAGAAGCTCTGTCCTTCTCAAGGTGGTCAGCTAAAGATTTCTTGTGCTCTTCTGAGCCCTTGTAATTGGTCAACTCCTTCGTATGGTCTTCTGACTTCTTATGCTGTGCATTAGACTTCTTGAATCCTTCAAGGTGATCAGCCAATACCTTTTTGTGCGCATTGGAAGATTTGTACTCCTCAAGGTGGTCAGCTAAGGCTTTTTTGTGCTCTTGGGAGTCCTTTTACTTTTCCAGATGAATTGCTAACTCTTTCTCGTATTCTTTTGAATTTTTATGCAGCACAAGATGGTCGGTCAAATCTTTCCGGTGTTCTTCAGACTTTTTGTATTTCTCAAGATAATCATCCAATAGACTTTTGTGTTCATCGGAATGCTTGTAGTTTTCCAGGTGATCGGCTAACTCTCTCCTGTATTCTTCTGACTTTTTGTATCTGTTGAGATGATCAAGCAGTACATTTTTGTGCTCATCGGAACTTTTAAACTCCTCCAAATGGTCATCCAACTCTTTCGTACACGTTTTAGAAGCCCTCAACACCTGGATAGCCTTGCTAATAAAGTCAGTCTTGATATCTGCAAAGGCATTGGAGGCCAGAAAATCTTTTATGATTGACTTTCTGGTTCTTTGAAGATCTTCTTGAATGATCTTCATTTGCAAGACTCGTGAAATCAGAATATCAAACTTGTTCCCAGTAGCACTCTTGTCATCACTTGCAGAAGTGTTGGCATCATTTTTTAATTCAAGGACGCGAAAAACACACTGCAAGGCAAGAAAGTGAGGAGGACAAAACCATACAAAAAGAGAAATAATGACAAACAAATGAATAAAACATAATTAGTGGACAGGAAAGAATAGCACTTTTAGAAGCGGTTCCGTTCACCTGATCTGAATGTTTCTGATCTGAATTTTTTAAGTTCTGATCTGATCTGATCTGAATTTTTCTGATCTGATCTGATCTGAATTTTTCTGATCTGATCTGATCTGATCTGAATCTTTCTGATCTGATCTGAATCTTTCTGATCTGATCTGAACGTTGCTGAACTGATCTGAATGTTGCTGATCTGATCTGATCTGATCTGAATCTTTCTGATCTGATCTGAATGTTTCTGATCTGATCTGAATTCTTCTGATCTGAATCTTTCTGATCTGATTTGAATATTTCTATAATTGTAATTATTATTATAATTATTAGATTTATAATTGTAATTAAAAATATAACTTAAATAAAATTACAATTATAATCATAATTATAAAAAAATAATAATTAAAATTAAATTTAAAATTATAATAATTATACCAATTACACTAATTATAAATACAGATACAATTATAAATGTAATTATATTTTTAATTATGATTAATTTTATAATTATTTTTTTGTAATTATAATTATAATATTTATCTCTATTATCATAATTATATCTATAATTACTAATTTAAATATATAATTACTCCGAAGTAATAATAATTACAAAAATAACAACAAGAACAACAATCATATTAATAATAATGATGATTATAATTATAATTACATTGTAAATCATAATTATAATTATAATTATAAATATATTATATTATATTATATTATATTATATTATATTATATTATATTATATTATATTATATTATATTATATTATATTATATTATATTATATTATATTATATTATATTATATTATATTATATTATATTATATTATATTATATTATATTATATTATATTATATTATATTATATTATATTATATTATATTATATTATATTATATTATATTATATTATATTATATTATATTATATTATATTATATTATATTATATTATATTATATTATATTATATTATATTATATTATATTATTATAATATAATAATAATTTTATATTATTAACATTATTATTATATTATTATTAATATATTAATATTATTAACAATAACTATAATATAATAATCATAATTATTATAATAATAAAAGTGATAAATCATGTTTGAATTTTTTGATCTGATCTGATCTGAATGTTTCTGATCTGATCTGAATGTTTCTGATCTGGTCTGATCTGGTCTGAATCTTTCTGATCTGATCTGAATGTTTCTGATCTGATCTGATCTGATCTGATCTGATCTGAATCTTTCTGATCTGATCTGATCTGATCTGAATCTTTCTGATCTGATCTGATCTGATCTGAATAAAATAAGATTAAGGAATAAGTAATAAGATTAAGACGAACGGAACAGCTTCTTACTAAGCAGCGACCATAATAGTGTTTTGACGTGATTGTAAAGTAGGCATGGTGATGTTCATCATACAACTGTAGTAATCAATAATCATGCAGTCATACTTTTGTTCATGAATTTAGAACAGAAAAAGACCTAGAAAAATAATGACTATAAAAAGTACCTTGAAGGCATATATCATCACAGATTCGCACAGTTTCTCTGAAAATATACTCTCCAGAATTTCCATATCAAACGGAGGATAACCGTCCTCTGACACTTCTTCAGTTTTGATGGTACCCTTTTTTGATGAAATGTTCTGTTCATTGTCCATGCTCACTCGGGGCTTCTTTGTAGCACACGAGGCAATGGGAGAAGAAGGTGAGTTTCTTTTGTTATGTCCGTGGCATGGAAGGCCCATAGAATTATCTACGGGGGAAGAGGCATCAGGCAACAACACAGTATTAGGGATCCCGGAAGCTATTCCAGTGTGAGGATCAGAGGCTTGCCCAGGTTTCCCTTTATCAGGACAGAGAATTTTCTTTGAACGGATAAGAAGGTCTGCTGTGCTAAAAATATTCACATGGCCTGCAAAAAAGATGAATGTATATGTGTGTACACTTACAAAATAGATGGATGGAATACTACCCATTCCATGGAGAAATAACCTGCATGATATTTATTTGTTCTTGGCAATTTATTCCTTCATAGAAATACAGGTCCTATTTGCTAGCATTAATAAGCTTATTCTGCTTAACATTAAGCAGAATAACTGAATAAGTAGCTTTTGACTTACTTATATGTTTGAAAAATCGATTTTCACACTCTTTTATTTAAAAAATCTAGTAGACTTAACCATATAATCAAATGTCATGAGCCATAAACCCTTGCCAAATACAATCAAAGTAATTATTCTTATTTTCATCTGACAAAAATTATCCCAAAGTTCCAGTAACACAAAATCTAGTCCCCAGTCTGAAACACCAATTCACCTTTTTCCATGTTCTGATGCTTCGTTGATGAGTAGAAACTATAGAATATATTCGATCAAGTCAAGAAAATCGAGTTAAGACTCAATAGGTAACATATCCAAAAAGGAATCATTGTGTTCATCAAATCATACCTCTAGCTTTTTGTACTGGAAATGTTTCAGCATTTCCACTAGAGGGCTTTCTTCTTTCTTCACATTCTCCTTTAAAATTACAAGTAACAAGTAATTGCTAATTAGTCGTAATGTAAAGGACCGGCGAATAATTAAAAAATGCCGAAAAATTGTTGAATTTGTGTGGTGGTATATTGGTTCAACAATGGGCTCTTTACTCACCGCCATCATCGCTTTGTTGAGAAGGACTTTCAGAGTTTTTAGGTTCCTGTTCAGCACCTCCATTATCGAGCTGCTGCTTTCGACAATAGGCCCGCATGTTCTTCTTGTACTCCGCCTTCAGTTTATCAGCCTTGAGTAAGTAAGGAGCTTTATCGGCGGCGGACATATTCCTCCACTCTTCACCTCCGGCTTGAGAGGCTGCTACAGATGATTCCCTACTGAACGGACGCCGCGCATAAAAAGTCTTCCGGAACTCCTTCAGGAAAAGGAAGAAAGCACTTAGAGGCTTCCTCGGTTTATTTGGATCCTTTCCGACCTTCATGGCACTGTAGTCTGGTTCTGGGGGAGGCGAAAAGGTTCTCAAAAAAGACTCCGTAAACGATACTCATTACACAATAAAAATTGTAATACTCAAAAAATAAATCGATACTCCTCATCAATAAATGGAAAAAAATTAGGGGCGGGCAAAAATACCGAACCGGCATGGTACCGAACCGAACCGATATGGTATCGGACCGAAAAATGGGGTTTGAAACGGATCTCAATTTTTTTGTCCCGAACCGTACCGATTCTAAACAATGCCATGACCGGTTCTCATAAAATGAGAACCGGTACCGGACCGAAGTATGATTCAATGATTTAAATTTACATTTATACCCTTACTTTGACTACTGTCTTCACACTTTCACCGTCTTTGCTAATTCATAGGAAGCCTGGAATCGAACCGATGTATGGTTTAATTATTTATATTTGTACTACTATAATTTATCTGAAATTTATTAATTATGTAAAATACTACATTCATCCCAAATTGATTTGCAAAATTAACTTTTCTTGGTCAAACAGTTTCATTTTATTCACTTAACGAGAATGTCACTTTTTAATTATATTTAATTTGGAGCTTGCAACCTTGAAGAGATTTCAATGTAGTTTCTGAATATGTTTATTTTAATTATTAAAAAATAAGTCAATTATCAATAAAGAGAATTTAACTTTAACATGGTTGACAAAAAAATTATTGACTTTGCATGTCAATTTGGGATAAAATGAGTATGAAAATTGATAAATTGTGTCGATTTTTGGAGGATGAATAAACTTCAATTTCCTCTTAAGCACTTGAAAAAAGTGGCATTGTTTGGTATTGGTATGGCATGGTACCGTCCCGTTTCAAAATGAAACCGTACCGAACGGGTTTAGGCCTAAGACCGAACCGAACCGAACCGTTTGAATAGTAACGGTACGGGTACGGGTTTGGCCAAATATTGGACCGGACCGGACCGTGCCCACCCCTAAAAAAAATCAAAAAATTCCGCTGCCGGGACTCGAACCCGGATTTTAATCCAGCTATACCGTTTATAGTTGCTACAGCGGAGCTATAGACACAATTGTTTACTGTGTATGTTAGGGTAATTATTATATTACTCAGTTGTAACTAGGTTAATTCCAAAATTTTCATGATATACACTATCTCTGTTCTTAAATAAATGCAACATATGAAATCTTACACTATTCACATGGTCTATTTTAACTACTTTTTATTTATTAATGTATGAATACATTTTTATGAAAAAAATATTGTTAACTTTGTCTCATTGTAAATTTTCAATATCTAATTTTTTAAATTTTTTTACTAATATAAATTTATATATATTAATGGTCAAAGTTGTGTCTCGGAAAGTGTAAAATGTTGACCGTTGCATTTATTTAAGAACGGATGAAGTACATAGTCTGCAAGTTATTTTTAGCATCGTGTAAATACTAATATAATCTAGATATATTTTGATCGAGAGTTTTAATTCTTGGAAAATTTTATAAATTTTTCTATAAACAATACTCCCTCCGTCCCCTTTTAAATGTCCCGTTTTACCATATTGGGATGTCCCTATTTAATTGCCCCATACCTTATTTGGTAAACTTTGTATCGGCGGCAGACATATTCCTCCACTCTTCACCTCCGGCTTGAGAGGCCGCTACAGATGATTTCCTCTTGCCGCCGCTAGCCGCCGCGCATAAAAAGTCTTCCGGAACTCCTTCAGGGAAAGGAAGAAAGCGCTAAGAGGCTTCATCGGTTTATTTGGATCCTTTCCGACCTTCATGGAGAAAACCGGTGAAATTGTGAAAATCAAAATGACACTTGGCGGGGAAAGGCACTGTACTCTGGTTCTGGGGGAAAGACGAAAAGGAAGATTCTAAAATAATACTCCGTATACGGTATTTATTACGCAATGAAAATTTTAATACTCAAAAAATAAATCAATACGAGTATTACTCATCAGTAAATGTAAAAAACTTAAAATTTCCGCTGCCGGGACTCGAACCCGGATTTTAATCCAACGCTCAAGTTAATGGTTGGATTTTAAACTCAGCTCCCATTTATTGTTGCTACAGCGGAACTACAGAAATAATTGTTTATTGTGTATGTTAGCGTTGTTATTATACTCCGTATTACCCAATTGTAATTAGGTTAATTCCAAAATTTCATGATATATACATAGTCAATTAATCTAATCAAGTTATTTTTAGTTTGTAAATACTAATATAACCTTGATGTATTTTGATAGAGAATTTTAATTCTTGGAAAGTTTTATTAACCTGTATGTAAATACGGAGTAATACATTTCATGGTTACATTTTGGGAAAATATTGTCACGTGTCAACACAATGTTAACTCTCCTTGACTAATTCTTATGCTATTTTTCTAATTCGAATAAACAATAACGATTTTGAGTATATAAATCCATATATTATGATACATATGTAAACATCATGCTTATTTGTATTTATTTGTGATTGAATTATGTTCAAACACAAATTCTTACATCTATTCACTCATGAGCTAATAACTCTTAACTCGTGATCAAACTAATAACTTGCGGCGTGTCATGAGAATTGTCTTTATGATATTGGACGACTCTACCGATTATCAAATTTATGGGCTTTGACGTGATAAGCTATATATATTACTATGAATTTCCCTTTAACCTTGCTCCTCCCGGTATGTGAGAATTAACAACTTTTAACTGTTTTTCTGAATTTCCTCCATACTTCAATAATGTTTCCTCTTGAAATTTCATTTGCTTTATAAACTATTTATATGAAGAATTGATCAAAATAATTCAAATTGTTCCTATTCCTCTCTTAATAATCCCATTAAAAAGATATTCTTTCAAATATTTATTTATAAGTTTTAGGCCTCTTTCATTTGTGATGCTTCCGGGTCGAATATTTTTATGAAAATTTTGAAAGCATGTTCTCCATGAAATATAGATTACGTCTACCAAATTTCAGATTAAAACTCAAACGAGAAGTCACTTAAATAAAATGTTGAGAAAACTTATTTATATACGGAGTATATAACTGTACAATTTTCAATAATTTATTTATCTGACTTCTCTATTGAACTGTAAATTGATATTCAGTAGACATAGTCTACCCTTCATTGAGAATATGGTCACAAAATTTCATCAAAAAATTTGATTCGTAAGTACCTCAAATGAAAGAGGCTAGGCCTAAAATTATTAATTCTAGGCCTACCTTAGGAGAATATTCTCCAACGCATTGGTGGATTTTAGGCAATCGTTGGGGTTTAATTTATGTTTAATGGATTGTTGTTAAATCGAATGATGCAAATGCACCATCAATAGTGACCGGGATTCACGGACAAAAAAAACTCTTCACAGACATGGTGGGTACTAAAGTAGGTAAAAGAGTGGGTACAAACATTTTTTTTGCTCATTTAATTATTGCATTCAACGTTAGTTAAAGAAATTGATGAGTCACTCTATGCGATCTTCTTAAGTTTAACAGCCTTGGGTGAGTAAGGAGCTTTATCGGCGGCCGACATAGCCAAAACCAGTGAAAAACAGAATGACTTGGCGGCAGGGACGGACTGAGGAAATTCATATTGGGGGGTTCAAAATATTTTTTGGGGGCGAAAATTATTATTTCGAGGGGTGAAAATTATTTTTCTTATATATATACCCTAAAAATAAATTTTGTTGGAGGGGCGGTAACCCCCCTGGGTCTATACTACGGTCCGCCCCTGCTTGGCAGGCTCATGCACAGGCAGTGGCGGAACTAGGGGGGTCTAGCCGGTGCCGCCGCCCCCCGTTCGCCGGTGGCGGTTGTGTACATATATACTTCCTCCGTTCCTTTTTAATTGCAACAGTCAACATTTCACGTTTGCCAACGCACAAGTTTGATCATTAATATCTTTCATTCCTTATTAGTAAAAAAATTAAAAAAATTTATATTTTGAAAATTTAGAATGAGAAGAATTTAAAAATATTTTTTAAAAATTTAATTTATTATACATCAATTAATAAAATGTAGTCAAAGTTGAACATGTGAATAGTGCAAAAAGTCCAATGTTGCAACTAAAAGAGAACGGAGGTAGTATATGTTTATATCTCAGCCCTGGTTCAAAAAAATCATATATTACAGATCCTGGTGCGGATAATGAAGTCACGGGCTCAATTCCCCACGGCAGCATTTTATTTTACTTCTATTAAGCCTTGCTTTCATATTCTCCTTCTAGCCTTGCAATTTCTTCTAGTCGCGGAGTCCATTTCGCATTTTTAGATATAGCGACTCTACTAATTTTCGGTCAAGTGAATCACACTAGATTTATATATCTTTTACTTTACATTCTTATTTTTTATTTTTTGAATATAAACTATTTGTCACTATATGGCCTCAAATTACTTGTCAATTTATTGGCACTTTTTATCTCAAAAATGGTTCAATAGCCTCAAATTATTGCTATACCGCAACTTTTAATTATTTTAAAATAAATAAAACGAGTTTTTAATCATTTCTTTATTCCTAGATAAAAAAATCATGTATTTCTTCTTTAAATAATGACATACGTAGTACTACGTATATCATTTCATGTGTAAACAGGGGCGGAGCCAGGACACTGGACTGGATTGGGCCGGTATAAAGAATATTTTTAGAAAAAAAATTACATGAAATTTTTTACCTTAAAAATTAAGCTATTTTTAAAATTTGGGGTGGGCCATGGCCTAGGTTGGCCCACCCCTAGCTCCGCCCATGTGTGTAAATTATCAAGAATAATTCAAATCATAGTTTAACTTTAACATAACTATTTACTTTTTCCTTAGCATAATAGCAATTTTATTTGAAACACAGTATATATACATATATATATAATATATAAGTTTTGGATCAAGTAAAAAAAGTTCTTCTCATGAAAAATGAGAATAAATTTTGTGCATTAAATGGCTCAAAATTAGCCAACAATGCACTACATGTTATCGGAAACGTGGTGACGATTTTGTAATTAAATCAAAGTTCTATCAGTGTACCAGAATGAATAAAAAGTGCACTCATTCGCATTTTTCACGAGAACAACTCTTTTTATTGGAACCACACTCTATATATCTAATGATTACTTTTTATTCGTTTCCCCTTAATTCTAATAAAAAATATATAAAACAAAATCTCGATATATATGAGCCCCCGCTCAAATTATTCTCTGGTTCCGCCACTGTGCACAGGGCCATAGAAAAATCCAAAACTGGGCAAGGCACTATATGACTATATTCTGGGGGAAGACGAATAAAATCAAAAAATATACTCCGTGTACGGTATTTATCACACATAAAATAAAAGTTTAATACTCACAAAATAAATTAATACTCCCTCATCGATAAATGTAAAAAACATTCCACTTAAATTAATACTCCCTCATCGATAAATGTAAAAAACATTCCACTACCGGAGAAATGCTAGAGGTACACGTTTTGTGTACGGCGTTTGGTGTACACTTGTCTGTGGGAGAAATGCTAGAGGTACACTTGTTTTGTGAATTCACAGACAAATTGTCTATGACAGACAATTTGTCTGTGAAGGACAGACAAGTGTACACCAAATACACAAAACGTTTACCTCTAGCATTTTTCCCACTATCGGGACTCGAAGATACTAACTCAGCAATCCAGTTTGTAGTTAGATTTTAATATAACGAAGCTATAGACACAACTGTGTATGACCTGTGTTAGCGTAATTATTATATTAGTAAGAACGGATTAGTAATTAGGTAAATCCCAAAATTTTCAGGATTTATTATATCATTATCTACTAGTTTTCAAGCCCGTGCGATGCACGGGCACTACATAATTTAGCTAATTTTAAATTTGATTTTTTCAGAATCATATATAATGTAGTGATGCAAAAGCAAAATAAACTCAGACACTTAGTCTTAATATAGAGTCCGTTTGATAATACTAAAATAAGTCGAATCAGCTCATTTTGCTGAACTAGATTAAATTCTGATTGAATGAGCTGAATAGGCGGAATGTCGCGAATCATGAAGAAAAAAAACTAAAATATATTCCAATTGTGTAGAATATAAAAAAAATGAAAAATAGTTAAAATGGTCTTCTACATAAACATCTCATGTAAACATAATTGTTTTAAATATGATTTTACAGAATTCACAAAGAAACTCCTTAATTAATCTCACATCCTCTAAGTTACTATATTATGCATCTCAAAATATTTTATTTAATATTCCTCATTCAACCAGGTATGAAATATGGAGTACATACTATACTTTTAACTTTTAGTAGTAAGATCTTACATTTTACTCATTATTTTGTCACATTAAAAATATAAAAATGGTGTTTTTTTTAAATTTAACTCATTATTTCATCACATCAAACCGTCATTAATAAGGGCGTTTTTAATTGAATTTAATTTTTTTGGTTTGATTTGGTCTGAAGCAATATGCTCTTGTTAGATGTTTGTTTTACATTATATGTGTCCTATTATTATTATTATTATTATTATTATTATTATTATTATTATTATTATTATTATTATTATTATTATTATTATTATTATTATTATTATTATTATTATTATTATTATTATTATTATTATTATTATTATTATTATTATTATTATTATTATTATTATTATTATTATTATTATTATTATTATTATTATTATTATTATTATTATTATTATTATTATTATTATTATTATTATTATTATTATTATTATTATTATTATTATTATTATTATTATTATTATTATTATTATTATTATTATTATTATTATTATTATTATTATTATTATTATTATTATTATTATTATTATTATTATT